AACTGTTCTGCAGAGTTCACATGGGCTTGGGAGGAGCGCCTGGCTTCTTTCTTTTATCAGTTCTATCTATATGAAGATAAGTCAAAGGTCCTGCTCGACCATGTCTGGCTTCACTTGGAAGCATGGATGAGATGTTTCCTCTGAGTTGACCCTCCTCTTTGTAGACTGGACACTGGTTCAAGTCCATCTCTTGGGATCTCCTTGGCCTCCCTGAACAAGAGGACAGGTGACTCACCACAATTACAGGACATTTTGAGAGATGTTCCATAGTCCCCTGAATTTGGTCGACCTTGGAGGGCAAGGGGCAAAACTGTCCTTTAAGTCCTTCTGACCATATTAATATAGGTCTTAAAGTATGGCTGTTAAATATCCAATAAGGTTAGTTCCACCAGTCTTCTACTTTTAATTATCTTATCATGTACTATGTAGATAAAGCTTGGGTAAAAAATCAAAATTTCTCAGATAAACCATTACAAGATAATATATTTTGTTCCTTAAACTAGTTGACTATACTATGACCATAGAAATTCAAGATTATACGTATATTATTTTTGTCTTATCCTTTATATATCATAACCTACACAGACCTTCATCACTTGCTTAGACGTTCTCATTTTTTCTGTCTATTTTGGAAAATATCTCCATTCCCATATCCTTTTAACATCTTTTATATTCTCAAATAAATTTTCCATCTGTTGTGAGAATTCTTTTCCTGGGGATACTAAGCAATGCTTATTCCGTTTTAAGGTTCTAGTGTCAAACCAATGTTTGGTTGAAGTTTTCCTGGGGAACCAGTGAATTTACTGTCCTTACTTACAGAGATGACTGAGGGGCTGCTGAGGTGTATCAGTGATGTGGGGGTATGCACACTGCAAAGCCTGTACCCAGCATGGATCAAGCCTTTTCTTGTATTCTTAGTTTTTAAAGAGTTCTCCACACTGTTTTCTGTAGGGGTTGCATGAGTTTGCAATCCAACCAGCAGTGAATGAGTGTTCCCCTTTCCCCACATCATGTTATAGGGGAGTCATGGCATGGTGGGTAGATGGATTTACCAGGGAAGAAGGCTGGTCTGGGGAATTGGCAAGTTGGGGTTGTGGATAGCCAATATAGATGGATGTTGAACACTTTTTGAGATATTTCTTTTCTTTTCTTTTTTTGGCCTTTTTGAGACAGGGTCTCCCTGTAGCCTCAGCTGTCCTGGAACTTGCTATATAGACCAGGCTGGCCTTGAACTCAGATCCGCCTGCCTCTGCCTCCTGAGTGCTGGGATTAAAGGCGAATGGCACCACGCCCAGCTTGCGATGTTTCTTAGCCATCTTTATTTCTTCCTTTGAGAACTCTATGTTTAGATCTTTAGCCCTTCTTTTTAATTGGATCATTTGGTTTCCCCCTTTGTTTTTTGGAGTTCTTTATATATTCTGGATGTTAAACCTCTATCAGATGTGTCACGGTGAAGAATTTTTTCCCATTCTGTGGGTTTTCTCTTCACTGTTTTGATTGCTTCTTTTGCTGTACAGAAGCTTTTTAGTTTAATGAGGTCCCAGTTGTTGATTGTTGACCTTAATTCCTGAGCAACTTTTGTCTGATTTAGAAAGTCCTTTCCTATACCTATATCTTGTAGGTTACTGCCAATGTTT